GTCCAGAAACCTGTCCCTTGGAATGACAGATTCAGTGCCCCCTAAGGCCTCCAGGAAGATAGTGAGGCTCTGCAAGAGAGCAGGAGAGGAAGAAAGGGATGAAGCCACATCTAGCCACTTGCGAGTGGAGAAACTGTTTCCCAATTGTTTCTCTGCAGGGAGAAGCTCCTGCACAGGCGTTCTTGTTTATCCCCCACCACCCAGCAGTACCAAGAGAGTCTCACTGCTCTCAATTGAGCCGTGTTTGGGCATCATTTGCAGGCATTTCCCACCCAGCAGCCCACTTCTCCCCCATCAGATGCAACTGGCTGTGGTCGCACCAGTTGTTAGCACACAGCTCCTCAGGCACTCAGAGCCCCACCACCCAGGTGGTGGTGACGAAGTCTCCCATCCCCAGGAGGTGAGCCCCTGTGACTCTTGGCTCCCTCCTGGCTTTTGTCCAGGCCATTCCTTCTTTGACTGAAGAGCTCAGGAAGCCTCAGACCTCCCTTGAACATCCATTCCTTCTTTCTCCAAGGGCTCCCCACCTCCTCCCTGCATCCCGCTGACCCCTCGTGGCACTTGCATGGGCCCCACATCCACCCTGAGCCCTGCACAACGCCTCACCTTGGCCACCCTGCAGGTGTCTTGGATCTCCTGACACGGGTGAATGAGCCAGAGGAGCTGCTCCCAGACCTGCTCTTGGTGCTGCTCCTCTTGCAGGAGAACCTCCAACATGGCAGCCACAGCCCCAAGGACGGCCTGTTTGTCCTGGAGAGGATGGCAGAGGTCCAGTATCAAAGACTGAAGGTCTGCCCTTCCTACACAGAGGGCTTTCTCTTCCCCTTCCCCTTCCCCTTCCCCACACCCCCACTCCCAGCAGGAGATGGGCTCGCTCTGGAGGGCAGGCAGCTTTTCCCCATACCCTCATCCCCAGCTCTTTTTGCCACAGTGCTGTGACATGCAGCTGCTCCCTGACACAGAGCCACTTCAGGGTCCTTTGCAGAGCCAGCCCACTCCCTCTCATCACCCCTCAGCTCTCAGCCCACTGGGCACAGACAGAGCTGCCGACATGGGTGCCCCTGCTGCCATCCTGGGCTGGGAATGCAGCAGTGCTCACCTTTTCCTCCTGGCAGTCCTGCCAGTTCCACATCACGGAGAAGAGCAGCTCGTGAAGGTTTTCATAGATCTGCTCTTTCTCCATGGCAGGCCAGGGGCATTGCATTCCTGAGGACAAGTGGATCTTCACTCCATCCAGCCACTGTTTCACAACTGAAAAGAACATAACCAAATACTTGTACAATAATAATAATATTTTTTTGAAAAAGGGAGTGAGAGAAAAGGGAGCCTGTGAGAGTCTGCAGCAGGGTGAGGTGCAAGGGCTGTCCTGAGGCCCCCTGCTCTGGGGCCGGCACTCACCAGCACAAGCGATGCGCAGGATCTGGCCACTCTTCACCTGGCCCACCACACTGCGCAGGCCTGCCAGCATCAGCCACACAAAGGGGATGCACTGTGGAGCTGCAGAGAGGAAGGAGAGGGCCTCAGTCAGAGTCCTGGCAGCGAGGGAGGAGGGGCTGCAGCCCTGCATCCCCCAGCTCAATGCAGATCACATGCGGAGGGCAGAGACCCCTTTCCCGGTTGTTATAGATGTCAGGAGGTTGAGGGTACTCTACCATAGGTGCTGAAGAGTTTGCTCAGGGTGATGAGCACAAACTCCTTGGACATGTCCCCCATGGCCTTCAGGTGGCTCTGGAGCTCAGCCATCACCAAGGTGAAGTGTGTCCGAGCCAGAGCCACCAGGACATTGCTGGCAGCTGTCCTCAAATTGCTGGTCACGCCCTGGAAGAGAGTCACTGGTGACACGCGGCACAGGAGACTGCCTGAGGCCCTTGGAAGGGTTAAACCAACACTATCTGCCAGCAGAACACCAGCGTGGGCAGGCGGTTCCCTTTGCCTTTGGGAGTGAGCCCTCACCTGGGCTGCCGTCAGGTCCCGGGACACCTCTGCCAGCAGCCGGTTCACCACTCCGCACGGCGGGCGGCTGCTGTCTTGGCACAGGGCGCTCTCCAGCTCACCGTACGCCTGCGCTCGGTCACCCTGGGGACAAGGATCAGTCACGCTCGCTTTGCCCGCTGCCACCCATCGCTCTGTGGATGTGCTGCCGGGCCTGGCACCCACAGGACCGTGGCCCTGGACCAGGAGGGCAAGGGTTGGTGGTTGGATGTCCCCAGCTCACCTCCTGATCTTGCAGGCGCTGAAGCAGTAAGGTCGCGGCGCAGGTAGGGACAGGGCTTGACACCCTGCTTCTCTCCCTGCGACGCGTCCGTCTGGGCACGCAGCCCACACAAGCAAAGAGACCTGGAAGGAAAGAGCAGAGCAGCTGCTGCTGGTGTTGCTTGGAGCCAGGTCTGAGCACCCAGCCAGCTGTGGGAGGAACGCTCCTCCAGCCCCACAGCGCAGGGGTATGAGTGGTTGGCGGGGGCAGGGGAGGGAGCTTTCCCCTTGCTGGGGTACTGGGGAAACCATGGTGGGCAGCTGCACTCGGCAGAGCAAGGACAGTGCTGCTAGCACAATGTCCTAAACAGACACTGGAGGCACACATGTGCTTCGGCAGCGTCACGGGGTCCAGAGAGGTGGAGGGACTCACCTCGAAGGGCTCTCAGCCTCTCCATGATAGCAGGATGCCTCCAGATAGACACAAAGCTCTCTCTGGTTCCACTTCCTGCGGGTCCCACAAGCGGACTGAGCCACCGCTCCCACCGCTCCACAAGGGTGTATGACGCAGCCACTGTGACACCACACTGCAGTGTCACCTCACAGAGAATGAATGACGCGCCCCGGGCTGGGGACCAGACAGTGCAGGGCAACCCTGCAGGCCCTCAAACACAGCACGTTTTTGTGACGCAATCGGCTCTGGGGTTCCGGTTCCATGCTGATGCAGGGAATGACCTCAGCGGGTGATGGAGAGCCCCTGCCAGGGAGCAGCTGCTGGGCACCGTTGCCTGGCATTGTCTTAGTGACTGGGGACTCCATGCCGGGAGGCACTGAGGCCCCCATCTGCTGCCCGACAACCTCTCCAGAGAGCTCTGCTGTCCACTAGGGGCACGTGTCAGAGACATTAGAGAGACTCCACCGCATCTGATCAAACAAGAACACCACCATCTGCTTATTGTCATCCAAGTAGGGTCATGGGAGGCTGCCACAAGGAAATGGCAGAATATCAGAAAGAGACTTGGCATCCCATGGAAAGACACTAAAGGGATTGGGAGCACCAGGAGTGTTCTCCTCTGTCCTTCTGACTGGAGGCTGGGTCCCAGAAGGAAGGAGGAGAATAGAGGTGGTAAATTATTGGCTGATTACTGGGATGGTGTTGGGATCAAGGTTTTGAGTACCTTGATCTTGGACAGGTGTGTGGGCATGAGATGGAACACAACTGAGCAGTTGGGGCCAAAGTGTTCTGGAAAGTTAGCTGGCTAGATTGATTAAACCACATTTGATGGAGGAATGGAATGGAGTTCCTTGCGAAATGAGGAAAATAAGTTAGGTTAGAAGTTCTGTGCCTTCATGAGGTGCTGAATTGGCAGCTACAGATCTGACCTTTCTAAGCCAGGTTTTCGCTGCCAATAACAGATGCTTTTATACAGACCTAGAGAGTTAGTGCGGACAGCGAGTCTCCTGTTTCTCCAAATAACATTGTTAGCTATCCCATCTCTGGAATGCAAGGCAGCAGGCTGGGCAGTAAACCACAAATTAACAAAGAAGCAGTGGATTGGTGGATGAAGTTGATGCTGATAAGAGGACCGTTCA